TATATATATATATACTAGGAGAAAAAGAAGCATTTCGTGCTTCCCTATTTAAAATAAAAATAAAAATAAAAAGGATAATAAGTAATTATTTAAAGAGATAGAAGAATTTATAAATTGAATATCGTTGAAATAAAAAAATAATTAAAAAAAAGAAATTAATTTAGAGATAATTATAATCATAAATTAATCCAAAATTTATAAATACTATAAAAGATATTTTTGTAACTAATAATATAGATATAGGTAAAATAGTGGGATGGCACGGCGTCGTTTTATGAGCAATGACTATGGGCCTAAATGGTGTAACTAGAATGGAGGTTGCAGCAAAACAGAAACATTGATCCCTTGGGCTGTTTTTCGACTCAAACATGACTGTGTTGGCTGCATATTCTTTGACTTCAATTCCATCATCTCCTCTACCTCTCCGCCCCAACTCCAACTTATCATCCTCTGTCTTCCATGGAAGAAGGGTGCAGTGTTCGCGCAGGTGCGACCTCTTCGATCTGCATCAGGATCTGATCCCTTATGACGTGGCATGGTCTTGGCAAAAAGACTTGGTCAGGGAAAAGAAATCACAGATTGAAAACGAAGGAGATTGCACAGACACCCTCATTATTCTGCAACACCCTTCTGTTTACACATTGGGTACTGCTAGCACTCACAAAAATCTCAACTTTGACATCAAATATCCACCCTTTCCTATTTATCGCACTGAACGCGGCGGAGAAGTCACATTCCACGGCCCTGGCCAGGTCCTTCGTCTTATTATATTGTTTGTTTTTGTTATATGATATTTCTAATTTGAATTGTAATCTTTCTTGTTTCGTGTTTTTTCATTTTCAAGTTTGGATTAACTTGTTAAAGTATTTTGCGTTGCAGCTAGTTATGTACCCCATCATGAACCTCCGAAGATACAAGATGGATCTTCATTGGTACCTCAGGACCCTTGAGGAGGTTGTTATTCGTGCTCTTTCTTCAACGTTTTCAATTCAGGCTTCTCGGCTCGAAGGTTTAACTGGTGTTTGGGTCGGTAAGTCTCAGTTTTCTTTGTTGCTACGGTGGGTGGAAATAGGTTAACCGTGATCATGAACATGTAGGAATCTGAATTTATACAATAATGTCTCATGGAACTGAGTTAGACTGCAGAACGTATTCAACTTGTATTTTAGAGTTTGTCATGATTTGAGAAATGTTGAAACAGTCCAACTTCTCTCATATTTCTTATTCTTCTTTGCTGTTTACTCCAGGAAACCAGAAAGTGGCAGCTTTAGGTATACGAGTGGCTCACTGGATTACCTATCATGGCTTAGCACTTAATGTAACAACGGATTTGACTCCTTTCAAATGGATCATCCCATGTGGAATACGTGACCGTCGAGTGGGGAGCATTACGGGGTTGCTGAGAGAAGCTCAGTCATGTAGTGCTCATGGAACAGCTGATTTGCATAATTTGGATGATGACAGTCTTCTTCACATAACTCACATGTCCTTGATTGAAGAGTTCGCGCGAGCATTTCAGATCGAGTACCATCATAAAACTATTTCCGTACCCATTTTGTGTGAAAGGAAAGGAAGCTGTCTTACCAAAGAAGCACAGCAACATTGAATTTGTTTGATGCACATAATAGTCCTTTGATTATTATTATTATTATTATTTTTGGCATATTATGGGCAGTTTTAAACATAATCATTCTTAGAAACACACTTGTTAAGTCTGTATAAATGCTCTAGGATACCAATTTGCAAAGAATAGCTAGCAGATAACATTATAAACAAATTTTCTCCAGTCATTTTAACAAACAAAAAATAGCGGTACTGAAATTTAAAAAAAAAAAAAAAAAAAAAAAGGAGAAAACAATGAAGTAACATTTTCAAAACAGAATGAATGAATTCCCCTTTTGCGTTGACAGTAATATTTCAAGTTCAGGCATTGCATAGATTAAAACCATCATTTTCTCGGTAAATCATGGTATTCCACTTCAGAAATTAAAAATAAATAAATAAATAAAGGAGATAAAGCAACAAGATTTTTTAATGAAAAGCCTGCATTGATGTTAATCAACCAATAGTGCTCATGTCTTACAGAATACAGATATAAAGACTACGCAAATATATACAACTCTCCCCTAATCCACGCTAAACTCAGTAATGATCTGCTACAGGTCTCGAAGGGAATAGCCTCAAAAGAAACGTCATCAATGACCAAAGGCACACAACACCCAGTACTTGGAAGGTGATTAACATTGCGAACAAAGCTCCACTTCGTTCTAATAATTCAGGGGTTGCAGGAAGCCCCTTCATAGAGAAGATCAACTTCTCAGCAAAATGAGCAGCTTTTGTAAGCTGATACAGTCTGTAAACCTGGAAAATCAATTTGAAATGTTATAAAACTAATTACGGGTAAAGCCTAATATAAGTTATACACATGCTATCAGAGGGCAGATGAATCAAGCTGTATTAAGATCTTAAATCACTCAACAAAAAAAATAGACAAACCTCGAATATAACCGGGACTAAAGGCCAGCAAGATGACCCACGATTGTCCAAAACTTTCTCAAATGCAAGTTGAGCAACGCAGCCAACTAAAAAAGGAGTAATGGCAACAAATGCTGCAACGCGAACTGATGACCAGGTCACGAACAAAAGAATGAGAGGAGCAATAATCTTCAAACCCATTGTGAAGAAAGCAGAGAACAGGTATCCTCTGAGGCCAGTGATAAGACCCCATCTTTTTGAGCTGTACTGCAAATAAGGCCTCTGGACACGATCAGTCACATTCAAGAATGTTGCTAGTCCAATATAGAACAGGACCTCGTGAAAGAATGAAGTCGCAATATCTGCATTTTATTGGTAATAGAAATGAGCAAAAGATACTTCTCCCCCATATTTTACAAGGTTCTTACAAACAGCACTATGAAAGTTACAGTTTCATCCAGACATTCAGACTATTTTTAAATAGAAAACTCAACTTCCTTGTCCAAAGCAGTGCCGAGCACCACACCAAACTTGTCCAAAAGAACACTATGGAAACATGAAATTTAGCCAAAATAGCTGGAAGCCTAAAAGTTATACAAGAAACAAAAGGTTCAATCTTCCATACATGTTCGCGAGAATTTTACCAACAGCTTAGTCAACTACATAATTCTACTTAAGTCTACACCCACACACACAAAAAAAGAAGAATATATATATATATATATACAGCAAAATACAAGGGAATATATTAGCACGAGACATTCTCAATTTCACAACACTGTTAGATAACAATGTCAATACTTAATATCTCTAGCGATTTTCTCTAAGAATTTCTTCTCAGTTTCTCACACAAGTGTCAAAGTTCTTTGAAATTGTTCTTCCTCCATGTGTTTGGTTTGAGATTGGTAAGAAGTCGGTGAGAAATAGGTTCTCCATGAAACACCAATAGAATTAAATTTCCAGTGCATAGACAAATGCTAGATAGGTAATAATGTCTGTGCAGAATCAGAGGGCTGCATAAGAACTGAGACAGTTGACCACTTGAAAGAAATGTTTTAATTTAATGAAATTATAAATATCGGTATCTGAAATTTGGACATCACCCTTTGACTTGTATTGAGCCAATAACTAATTTGGCATTAACAGCAGCAAGAAACCTTAAAAATGTATCATAATGGAGAAAAAATAAACAAGTGGCATCACACTTCACACATGGATATAACAACAGCCATCATATGTAGCCATAGTTTTTTTTGCAGTTAGACTTTCTACATGTACAACACAAACGACTACCACCAATTCCAAAAACAAGCCATAGAAAAAGCACAAAATTCTATAAATACCTATTAAAATGACATCATCAAGGAAAGCCTCAACCACATTGTCAACAAAGAACTGTGGCAGAATCAAAGATGCTACGAACGCGGCAGGAGCTAGTACCCATAAGAAGGTGCGACCCTTTAATTCGAAGGGGGCAGATTCCAATTTCCCTTCTTCTACCGATTGGTGTGTCAACCCACAAAAAGAGACAGAACCTGATTTACCATGAAATGGTTCCACCCCGTTAAACGTAGTAACAGGCACACTAGAACTTCGGTTTGAATGAACTTCCAAGCCACCATTTAAATTGGAATCAGAAGCACGTATAAGAAGCCTTCGGTATTTGTTCAACCCCGACAGCGAAGGCTCTTTCATCACCCATTTTAAACCTGAAATGAAAATTCAATTTGTTGAATTTTCTAGCGTAAACAGAGACCCAAACTTCTACAAACAACAATTTTTATTTTTTTTTTTATTTTCTGGTGTTATTCTGAACCAGCTAACAGTACTCATACAATGAGTTGGGGGCAAAAAACGTACATTTTGATGCGTTTCCGAACCGAAATCTTTGTCTTTGATTTCTGAATGAAGCGTAGGTTCCAATCGCTCGTGACTGCTATTAAACAGTAACAAGTTAGTGAACAGTGTTCCAGCAGAGAAGAGATAGAATGGTAACATAGAAATTCATTTGCAGGTAATGGGTTAAGGTTTACTCACTGATAGTATACGATGATGAATGGAGGATTCAAGTGGTTGAGAAGGAAGAGCGCAACAAAGGATTTGAAGTTCCATTTCAATTTAGGGTTTTAGAGCTGTGGCTCACTGGGCTATCGCCTGCTTCTAAAACCCGCTACTAAATTAAACTAAATTGTACAGAAAATTATTTTTAAATTAACATATAGATGAGCATAACTATTTATACGGATAACTTCTGCAATGTTATTTTTGTATTTATATTTTTCCAACATTAATAAATTAATAAATATAATAAATATTAAATTTTACTTTAGATCCCTTGTAATTATAATCCACAATTTTAATCTCTCCTTTTAATGTTATTTTTCTCCTATATTTTAAAATTATATAATTTTAGTCTTCTCTGTCAGATAAATTAAGGTAGTATAAATGTTGACATAACTAGTAATATAATAATTCACATGAATTCATGAGGTGACATTGTTGTGATAATGTATATTAGTTGTAACAATCTATCCTGGTTATTATACTTATGTATTATTTGAAAGAGGGAAAAGAATTGAGGAGAGTGAAAGAAAATATGTGAAAATTGATTTAATAGAAAATAAGTAGAAAATAGTATGAAATTTATAGTTATTTTGTAGAGTGAAATAGGTGAAAAATGGAGAGAAATTGTTACTTTAAAAATGTATTTTTGATGGAAGGTGGCTTAGTTCCATGCACGCCCTTGATGAGTATTGGAAATAAGGATATTTTAGGAAATAATAACTTCATTATTTATTTTTCCAAGTCGCCTAGATACTTGGTATAGCTAGGTTCAATGCATCATAGGAAGTAGTGGTTTCTTAATTGTTCTGTTGTTTGTGATAGCATTAATTATCTTTGTAATACTGTTAAACATAAATAAATTCTTTCAACCGGGTGGAATTATCACTCAGTGCATATTCAGAAAATATTTGTTTCTTTCTTTAAACAGAGAGAATAACTGCCTATAGTTTTTTCACTTTCTTGTTCTTACTAAATTTCCATTTTCGCATCATTAATGCTGTATTATTTTGGGACAAGATTGATATCATCTATGATATAGTGAATATTTAGTGTTACTTATGTATTTTGGTGCCCTATCACATTATTCCTTATAATTGGACAATTTACTATGAGTTTCTAGATGTTTTTAGGTATATTAGTTAAAAGGTCCTTATGCTGTTGCTTTATAATTTCTATGATTTCAGGAAGATTTTTATGCTGTTGTGGATTGGGCATACAAGATTGATCCTTTATGTTGCATATCAATGCATGGAACTACAGAACGCTATCTCTCTAGTCAAAAAGCTGATGCAGCAGGATTTGTACGCATTCTGCTTGGTGACTTGGAGTCTCGCATATCTATGTTGTTCAGTCGTGTATGTGACTACATTTATAAAAAATTGTCATCATAAACATTTATCAGATTGAGATGCTAACCCAATTCATATAAATGGATATCTTTTTCAGTTTGTTGATGAAGCATGCCATCAGATTGAAAGACATGAGCGCAATGCTCGCCAAACGGGTGTCCTACCGTACATTCCTAGGTAAAATAATCTTCGGATCGAGGTTTACTTTTCCCCTCTTTTCTCGAAAGGAAATTGATTTCTTTTTTTTTTAAAAAAAAAACGAAAGCTATATCTTCTGATCGAGTATATTTTTTAAAAATCATTAGCTTTTTTATAATTTAGATAAGTAAAAAAATATTAGTTAAAAAAATATTAAAGTTAATAATTTATCAAAAAATAAAGACAATTATTTGTCAAAAAATAAAAAAATCATATTAATTTTATTTTCTTTATTATTTTTTATTTTTTTTAATTAAATCTAGTAGTGTAAATCCATAATTTCCTTTAAAATTCATAAAATATTTTAAAACCTTATAATATAAATTCATTAAAATCTGAATTATAAAATCTTGATTAAAATCCAAATTCATTAATAGACTCCTATATTTCCGGCTCTCTTTGGATTGAACCTATTTTTTTTCATAGAAAGGATAAAAGAATGTGTTCTAGTTTCTCACAACAAGATGATGATTGTTGCACTATACACGATCCACCAATCCTTTGGTTTCAAGTTCCATCTATCTTGCAAAGAATCAAATTGGCCAAGCTCTTCTCCAGCACTTCAGAATTTGACAAATTTTGTGGTTACCTCTACCCTTTATTAGAAGTATATACGAACGGTGAATGATTTGGAAGATTGAATCTCGAACGTTATGCATTTAAGCCGCTGATGAGTTGTGCTGGATGAAAATTGAGATTTGAGAATAAATAAGAATAATGAAAAGCCTAATTTTTTTATAGAGGTTTTATTTTACCACTTAATTTTTTTTTTGAAAAATGTCCTGGGTGTGTATCGGATATGCTTGAACTCACGAGAATGCAACATGTACTGGACCCACGAACCCGGTACATGTATGGCATGAATATTGGAGTACCCATGCTTCAGAGTCCATATATAGGTTATCATCTGCACTTAATTCCCCGTTCCTTATACAGTTCTCTTCAAACAATAACCAGATTATCATTTCTTAAAGACATTCGAAAGTGCATACTTTTCCACCCTCAGACCTTACAATTCTCACAAACTAGACTTTTAAGTCTTATGAATGTCTCGGTTTTTTTATGGTAACCCTACGTCACACAGAGGGTACAATTGTCTCTCACCTGCTAGCCGGTTTTTAACCACATTAAATTCGGGTTAGGTTATTTTAGGTTCTCTAAATTGGATGATGTTTCATAAGAAATTATTTGAACTTTTAAGGACAAAATTTGAAGATGTAAAGGTGACACCATTTCTATTTGTTATGTTTTTAGGCAGCAATTAAAAGTCAGAACCACCCCACTATTTACTTTCCATACTGTATTTAATATCGCAAGTCTGGTGTTCAGTAATGTCTCGATTGTTTTCATATAGATTTGCATCCCTTGCAACACGGATGGAGCAGTATATATCAGGACAGTCGAGGGATTTGGTTGACCAAGCATACACAAAATTTGTAAGTGGTTCCTTTTCAGATCTGTCTTGTTTTGTGATGTCTTCCAACCAGGGACGGAACTAGAAAAAAAAATGTCAGGGGTGAGGGCAAAAGTTTATTACACGGTTTTAACAATAACTAATTTGTAGAATTAATAATTACTTAAAAGGATAGAAATTAAATATTTGATACCAAAAAAACAAGCCAGCAAAACACATGCACCGACCTCCGATACACAAATTGTCTTGAGTTTAATTCATTTATTTAACACTTCTATACCTTTTACTAGTCAATGCAATCCAATTTAACTAAAACGACAATGGGTCTGTTTGTCTGAAATTTTTTTTTCATAAAAAAGTATATTTTTTAATAAAATAAGTAATTTTTTGATATGTTTGTTTAAACTTAAAAAAAAAATAGTTTTCTTCTTTTTTTTTTTTTAAAAGCAGATCTTGATTGCTTCTTAAAGAATTGTTTCTTTTTTACAAAAAAATTCTAGAAAAATTTTTGTTTTATTTTTAAAAAACTCTTCCAATATATATAAAGTACTAACATATATCACCTGATCCACAATATTTATTGGTTTAATTTTTCGCACTTTGAGTTTTTTTTTTTTCTTTTGAATATAAATTGGTTCTTTATAGATTGTTCAAGGAAAACTATTAATAGAATATTTTAAGGAAATATAGCATTGGTTAATTGATAATGATATATCATGTGTTTATTTGTATATTTCCAAAAAGGAAAAAACATATTCCATTGCAATAATAATCTAAAAGGTGCCAATTTTTTTAATATATTTTAAATAAGGCCGAATCTGATGATATATCATTATCAATTAACCAATGCTATATTTCCTTAAAATATTCTATTAATAGTTTTCCTTGAACAATCTATAAAGAACCAATTTATATTCAAAAGAAAAAAAAAAAACTCAAAGTGCGAAAAATTAAACCAATAAATATTGTGGATCAGGTGATATATGTTAGTACTTTATATATATTGGAAGAGTTTTTTAAAAATAAAACAAAAATTTTTCTAGAATTTTTTTGTAAAAAAGAAACAATTCTTTAAGAAGCAATCAAGATCTGCTTTTAAAAAAAAAAAAAGAAGAAAACTATTGTGGTTAGAGGAAAGAGAAAAGGGGCAGTAATTGATTCGATTTTCTCTCTCTCTGGACTTGGTTGCTTTTGGGAAACATTCCCTCCGTCATTTCCATTTTCTGTTATTGCTATTTGTTCTTTTCTGTACTGAATGCGAAGATTGGAAAAGAAATAGCCTCACGGCATGAATTGCCATTTTCATATAACATCATAGCTTTCTATTACTATATTCTTCTTTATCCATAACGATCTTGTCTGCAATGTCAAGTTTGTTCCAAATTTGGATACACTACTCGGCTGCTAACATCGCTTTGATCCAACCTATGCTGCTAATCAATCCTATTCGTCGAGTTGACAAAGTTTGCGATATCAGTCTCACACAGGTGTACATATTGCATTTGCTATAAGTTTAGTTAGTCAATTTATGCAACCTTCGAGAGAAGTCCACTTACAAGCCACTCATAGAATTCTACAATATCCTAAAGTAACCCTGGGAAGATGAATTTTATACAAAAAGAATGGAAATGCAATTCTTGAAACTGATAGAAGGTCCACTGTTGGATATTGTACCTACCTTGGTGGAAATTTAGTAATTTGGAGTTTTGGAGGAGTAAAAAATATTGTGGCTTAGTTAGTGTTGAAGCCGAGTTTCGAGCAATGGCACAGGGAATTTGTGAGCTAGTTGAAAATTATTTTATAAGAGTTCAAGATTAAATGGTATAGGGCAATGAAAGTCTGTTGTGATAATAAATCAGTTATCAGCATAGCTCATAATCCTTTTCAACATGAATCAAACAAAGCATGTAGAAATTGATACGACTTTATCAAGGAAAAGCTTGACTGGAGCTTGATTTGTACTTCATATGTTCCTTCACAAAATCAACTTGCTGATATTCTTACCAAAGGGTTATGCAGTTCAGATTTTGAAAGAATTGTATGCAAGCTGGCAATGGAAAACATTTATTCTCCATCTAGCGGGGGGAGTATTGGAAATAAGGATATTTTAGGAAATAATAACTTCATTATTTATTTTTCCAAGTCGCCTAGATACTTGGTATAGCTAGGTTCAATGCATCATAGGAAGTAGTGGTTTCTTAATTGTTCTGTTGTTTGTGATAGCATTAATTATCTTTGTATTACATAGTTAGATTTTTATATAAAAATAAATTATTAAAATAATTATGTTTTTACCCTTTACTAATTAACTATTTAGACACTAGTGTGAGGGTAACTTGTCCATGCATTTTTTAGTTGGAAATTTCACACAAATCCACCCTTAACAGAGTCGAATTGAATATGCATGGGACCCACCATAATTCCCTCACAAAATCCACTTAAATCATTTCCTCCAAACAAACATATTTTTTTTAAAAATTCTTTGACAATTCCTCCCTTTCTTCTCCATTTTCTACTGAATCACCCCCGTCAAATACACTATTAGTGAAATCACCAACTAACAACAATTATTACTACTTAGAGTCATACATTTACAAATACATAGATATGTACTATACAACAGTATATACATATAAAAACAATTATACAAATATAAATGATATAAGTACAATTATCTAGTAAAAGTCAAATATATGACATAAATGTCGATCAGGTATAAACTACACAACTACCTTAAGTGTGTGTTTGGTTTATCATTTGGAAGGTGTTAAACAAACATTCACTCATTCCAATGCACAAAACGCCAAAGCAACTATATTGATGGATTGGAAAAAAACGTGGGTTACGTTCAACTGAATGTTTTTCCAAACACACCCTAAGAGGGTAGCACAAAACATCTAAAAGCATTACCATCCATCTGATGGCCTCCATTATGCACTTATGTAAACCTAACCTTACTCAACTCTCATACCAAATATAATCATTGCAGTCTAACCACATGGAAATAAGCAATGATAAGTTAGAGTTTAAAAAGAAAGCAAGTATAGGAATAAAACATTTATACTGAACACCATCATGCAAATCAAGCAAGCACACCACGGGATTTGCATCCAACAACAATCACCATGTTTGAAAGTTAAAACATCCAAGTAATCAAACTTACACCATAATCATATCAACAACAACATACTCATCTCATGCATATGAACAACAATAACAACTCACATCACATCATATGCATACTTAACAACTAATGCATCGTCATACATTCACCTATGAATATCTCCAAAATACACCTGAGTAGTCTAAGTGGTTTGAAAACCAAATCAACTTATGTCATTTTCACGCCTAATGCGCCTACTGGATCAACAATTATAATGATATACCAACTTTGATTTCTCGGGTGTCATTACTTACACTAGGAAAGTCTAGTTCCATTGTCAGGACTAATATAGTTGGTTATAGGCGTACCACGACTTTGACATGCATTATCAAGTCACATATGAAATTAATCCACTAATTATCCTCAAGAAACCATGCAGCCTTTTCAGTAATCAGTTAAGGGTAATGGCCCTTGACTTCATACTTTACTCCATATTGGCTAAGGACCTAGAGGAGACTCAATAAAATCCACTCCAAAAGGTTCACACTTACTCAAGGAAAGTTTTTCAACAATTGACCTCATAGACCGACACAATAAGATTCCTTATATAAGATCTTCAATTTTCAAAACAACATCTTCTCCTCTAGTCCTAAGCTAATCAACATACTATAATGCCTACAACATTCTTAACATCAACACCTCCACATACATCATTTATATACATTGCCCTAAGTTAATGCATATAGATATCAAAACATGTCAATCATATATAGCATACCAATGTTAAACGACTCACCTATGAATAAAATACATATGCTCAATATCTTAATCAAGTATGGTATGTCAATGCTTATTCAACACTCCAATCATGCAACTATGGCATATCAATCATACACATCATATCAATGCTCATTAACATTTTAACCACACAAGTATAGCACATTAATGCTTATTATCATCGTCCTACATCACAAAACAAGCAAAAGACTCAAGTATTCTATTCATGTTCACCATACAACATTTAATTATCAACAATTAAATCATAATCATACATCATCTCATATTAATGTATAATCAACATACAAGGTATTAAATTCCCCTTCTTCATGTATCATACAAGAATCCCACTTGTAAAACAAAGAAGGAACCCAACACTTCAAGCATCCAAGGTCTTGCTCTAAGCGATGGTAATTCGCTTTGAGCATCGAGAAACTTTCTTGGAGTCAGCTCAGATAGAGAATGCCCCTAGAATCCTTAATCTATTCACTTTAAGCGACGATGTCCTTGCTTTGAGTGAAAAAATTTGCTCAAAACGCTCACAAATTCACTCAAAACGCTCATAATTTTGCTCTAAGCGAGCAAAGTCAAGGACCACCCCTAAACCCTCGTACATCATCACTTTTTAAGCGATCATAATTCGCTTTGAGCAAGCCGAGTGAAAGAACACACCAGACTTGGTCAAATAAGCTCACTTAGAGCAAGTAAGTTCTTACTATGAGCGAGGCTACCTAGAAACCTACATAAAATCAAGAACACCTTATCACCCCAAGGAAAAACATCATGCAAATCAAAATCCTTACATCCAGAGCTCCAAACTCAACATGCAATCCATCATAAACTCTCTCATAACCACCTACAACCTAGAATGGGAGGAAATTCCCACATGCAACAAGATCTACATGCAATATCATCTAAGAATTCAACTCATATGCTTAAAAAAAAAAACAATCCATTACCCTTTCCACTTGCTATCCGAAAATCCAACCATATAATCACATTTGATGAAAAGTATGACATGGAACTCAACAAGTCAAACACAGAACCCAATCCTAACTTCCCTTACTTCAATTTTAAGCTTTCCAAAAGTGAAGGAAAGGAAGAAGAATGGAAAAACCATTTTGAGCTCCAAACAAAAGAACTCCACACTAACACACTCTAATTCTTGACTTCAAGTACTTTAAATCATTCATAACAATAAGAAT